GGCGGCGCTGCGGCCCGGCCGCATCAGCGCTGGGTCACTAGCCTCGCGCCGCGCAGGGAGTTCTCGTGGTCGGAGAGGAACGTGTCGCTGAAGAGCATCCTGCAGCACATCGAGGCGGCGCCCGACATCACGCACTACGCCCTCCTCGGCATGCGCAAGTGGGCCAGCAGGACGAGCGGCGCCGACGTGCGGGAGCCCTTCTCTCGCTGCCACGTGCACAACTTCGTCATCCTGAACGTGGACCTCACCCAGAGCGTGCAGTACAACCAGAACCGGTGAGCGGGCGCCTGCTGCCGCGGCTGCACCATGGCCCAGGGCTCCCTTAGGGGGCTCCCGTGCGCTGTCCTCGGTTGCTCTCTGCCCCTCTCTGATGCACGGCCTTTTGGGACCTTTGGCCCTGCGGGAAGCTACGAAGCAGTGTCTGTCCATGGGTCACTCCCCACCCAGCCCGCCACGGACGTGCGCACATGTGGAGAATAGCCCATCACCAGGTGTTCACTGAGGGTCTCTGAGGTGTGATCGAAATATACGGTGAATGTTCACATTTCAAAAATGTGTTACAGGGCCGGGGATTTGGCTCAGGGGTTCTGCAGCCTGCCTCGCAAGCACAAAGTGTTACAGTAAAAGCCGCACTGCCACGAGTCCTCTCCAAATCCTCCCTGGTTCTGAACACACTCCTCCCACCGTCCTCGCCACTTCCTGCAGCAGCTCTGGAGCCCTCTTTCCTGAGGGTCTTTAGCTGTGCTGCCCCGGCTGCCTGGCTGTCCTGAGTGGGTTCAGTACATCCCCCCTTCATGGTCATTTTCACCTTGGGGAGGAGCTGGAAGTCACTTGGTGCTGGACCCGGTGATTCAGGTGGACGAGGACACAGCATTGTGTTTTCAGGAGCTGCCTTTCCGGCGGGTGGCACTGGGCAGCATTAGTCACCATTTATTTCTGTCTGTCCTTTTACGTGCTGGGCAGCAGGCACAGACCCCGAAGGCCACTTAAATTGTCCATTTTGGAGCCAGACAGACCCACTGGAGCCTGGGCTCCACACTTAGGACACCGGCAGTGTGGACCGCTGACCTCTCATCCAGCCGTCCTCCTCAGATATAAGGAGTGGCCAGGGCTGGGGGTGCAGCTCAGGGCCAGGCACGAGTGAGGCCCTGGTTTCATCCCCGGTTCTGAGAAAAAGCAAGCAAACAAACAAAAAACTTAAAAGTTGCACTTTTAGCAAATGGAATGGTCAAAGGGCAAGGTGGCGCACACCTGTAATCCCAGAACTGAGGAAGCCGAGGCAGGAGGATCTCTGTGAGTTCACAGCCAGCCTGAACTACTCTGTCTCACAATAACAAAATTAAAGAGTAGACAGTGCCTGAAGTTTCTCGATGGTGCCGGGCACTTGGTCCCGACATAGTGACTGTGTGTACGCGGACGTCGCTGCTCTGCGTGGCCTGCCCACGGGGGACGGGGGGAGGCCCAGGACAAAGCCGGCAGGACGCTGGCGCCCCAGGCCAGCGCCGTCTACAGGTGTGAGGGGCGCCTGTGCTGTGCCCTGCTCTGCCCCACGCGCCCTCTGACCCTGCAGGTTCACGTGCGACGACGTGGACTTCAACCTGCGGGTGCACAGCGCCGGCCTCCTGCTGTGCCGTTTCAACCGCTTCAGCGTGATGAAGAAGCAGATCGCGGTGGGCGGCCAGCGCGGCTTCCATATCACGTCCAAGGTGAGCGGGGCCGCCTTTCCCAGCCTCCCACTCGCTGATCCCTGCTCCAGCCCCGCGCTTGGTGACCTCTGTGCACCTGATCAGCCCTGCGCCAGGCCCCATCCCACACAGCCACCCCGAAAGGCCTCAGCTCCGGGCTTCACTTGGGAGGAGAGGCCATCCCGGAAGTGGGCGGGACCCTGAAACCCAAGGCTGGAGCTGGTCCTGGTGGCGAAGCCCTGTGCTTCCAGCCTCTGGGAGGCTGAGGCAGGGTGAGCCAAGCTGAATCCCCAAACCGGGGAACTCAAAGACTTCTCAAGGCCCTGTCAAAGGCAGGAAGGAAGAAAGGAAGGAGAGAGGAAGGAAAAGAAAGGAAAGAAAGAAGGCAGAGAGAGGGGAAGGAAGGGAGGGAGGGATGGAGAGAGAAAAAGAAAGGCAGGAAGGAAGAAAGGAAGGGAAGAGAGAAAGAGAGGCTGGGGATGTAGCTCAGTGTGAAAGCCCTAGGTTCAATCTCCAGTCCTGCAAACAGGACAGAACAGAAATAAACCAAACCCAAAACAAAAACCAATGAACAAAAATGTGAGACTGGTCTTACAGAAGAATTAGGGGTTACTGAGTTAAACTCCTGACTGCTATCCCCATTGGGAATCTTTAAAGCTCAGGCTGTGTTAGATTTGTGGTTCAATTTAGACAGATTTGAGGTCTTTGTCATCTTCAGTCTTTCTACCAAAGAGCCCGATTTACCTTTAAAATGAATTTATCTCCCATATTGCTCAGTGTAATTTTCAACCTGTTAGCTCTCTTTTCTATTTTTTTCAGCTGTAATTGAGTTTATTGGTACCTTTTAGGGATACAGTACAGTTACATTCATTGTTGGGATCTTGTACCTCTACATGACAGGTCTTGGTTCTCATTTCTTCCCCTTACCCCTGCCCTCCCTTCACCCCTCCTCCCCTCCCCATCTACAAACACTTTATTTCCATCTTTTCATGATCTCACATTTTTTTCTTTTCCCTTATTACCCTTCCCCTACCCATCCCACCTTCCCTACACCTTTAGCTCCTTTCTTCCCATTTCTAAATGTCAGTAATCTTATTAGGATTTTATGTGTTATTGCAGATTATTCACACCAGAGAAACTATTCGGTATTTACACATGTGTGACTTATTTATTTCACTTAGGAGTGTATCTTCAATATGTATCCATTTTCCTATGAATGAATCTATTTTCTTGTTCTTTATGGCTGAGTAATATTCCATTTTATAGAAAAACCACATCTTCTTTATCCAGTTTCCAACTCTCTTTTCTATTTTTGAGGCAAGGTCTTGCTGAGATGCCCAGGGTGGGCTCGAACTTGTGATCCTTCTGCCTCAGCCTCCCGAGCGCTGGGATGACCGGCGTGCAGTGCCACAGCTGGCTCAAAACCTAGTTTTTCTTGATGAAGAACTTGGCTCTTGAAGTTTGCTTTCTTCGGTGGCTGGCTGAGCGACGTTCCACCCAGCCTACCCGGCCTGCTCCCCCTGAGTGGGGGCAGCCGGTGGCCTGATCCTGCCCCTGCTCCGCAGGTGTCTGACAGCTCGGCGGCTGTTGTGCCCGCCCAGTACATCTGTGCCCCTGACAGCAAGCACACATTCCTCGCGGCACCTGCCCAGCTGCTGCTGGAGAAATTCCTCCAGCACCACAGTCACCGCTTCTTCCCGCTGTCCCTGAAGAACCACGGGCACCCTGTGCTGTCGGTAGACTGCTATCTTAACCTGGGGCCTCAGGTAATGTGGGCACTGGGCTCTTGGGGCAGAGGCGCCACCAGGACAGGGGAGCTCTGCTCTGGAGCGGCAGCATCCTTTGGTATCCATGGAAACTGCTTTCAGGACGAGAGCCTCTCTTGGTATCCATGGAGACTGGTTCCACAACCCCCTGCGTAAGAACACCTACAGCTCAGGCCTCTAGTATCACAGCATCTAGGGTTTGCTGCTAAACTTTGCACTTTAAATCATCTCCAGCTTGCTTATCATACCTAACACAGTGTAAATACTTATTATCCCATGTGGGTTAGGGGATGCTGACAGGAAGTCTAGGTGTTCAGGAGAGACAGAATTACTTTTCTTCCAATATTTTTGTTGTGTGGTTGACTGAATCCAGGGGCGTGGGTAGAGAGGACTGACTCTGCCCAATGCCCCTCTCGGGTGTTCACCCCACTCGACAGCTGGCAGAACTGAGGCTGAGAGAGCTGAGCTGCTTTTGCCGAAACAGAAAATCTTAGGAGTCAAACCCAATTCAGGAGTCAAGACATTTTTGGTTCTCAAGTGAATTCAAGAATATGAGGTGTGATTGGAAAATATGATGAATGTTTAGATTTGTTTCTTTTTTTAAAAAAATGACCGCAGTCAAAGACACATTGCCATGAATCCCCCTCAAAATCCTCTTCCTTGCTTTGTAGACACTCCTCCCATCGTCCCTGCCACTTCCTGCAGCAGCTCTGGAGTCCTCTTACCTGAGGGTCTTTAGCTGCGCTGTCCTCCGATGTCCTGATGGATTCAAAACATCTCCCTTCCATGGTCACTGTGACTCTGGGGAAGAGCCGGGAGTCACATGGTGCCAGGTCCGGTGACAGGTGGATGAGGACACAGCGTCGTGTGTTTACGAGCTGCCTTTCTGCGGGGTGGCGCTCAGCAGCAGCAGTCGCTGTATTTGTGATCACACCTGGAAAAGACCCTCAGGAAAGAGGACCCCAGAGCTGCTGCAGGAAGTGGCCAGGATGGTGGGAGGAGAGTGTTGGAAGTGAACAGAAGCATTTTGAGGGATTCATAACATTGTATGTTTTACTCACACATTTTTTAAAAGCTTAAACATTTGCTGTATCTTTTCATCACACCTTGTAGATAGTATGGATGAGCCTTCTGGAGTTGGCTGTTAGGATAAAACGTGGCTGGCATCTGTTGGCTGTCAACCCCGAGTGAAACGCCCCTGAGTACTCACGGACAGTGGACCTCGGGTCCCTCTTTTTCAGATTTCTGTCTGCTACGTGAGCTCCAGGCCCCACTCTCTGAACGTCAGCTGCTCCGACCTGAGGTTCAGCGGCCTCCTGCTGTACCTATGTGACTCCTTCGTGGGGGCTGGCTTCCTGAAACAGTTCCACTTTCTCACAGGTAATCATGTGCTGTCACCTGTCCTCTCTGAGGACAGGACCTCTCCTCCTAGGCCTTATTTGCCAATGGATAAACTGAGGCTCAGGGAAAGGAGCAAGCCTCTGGGGTTGGACCTGGGGCCTCTCCCCTCAACCTGTGCGCCAAGGCAACCTGTATGCCCTCTCTTTTGGGGGAGTGGCAGGTATTTCCACCTTGTTTTCCTTTTCCCTCCAAATCCTTTGCATCAAAGCCCAGGTCTCCCCTTAGAGGCTCCTCCCTTCTAGGAGATCCTGCAGTCTCCTTTGTCTTTTCTCCAGTTTTTCTCCTTTGATACAGTAGTTAAACCTGACAAAGCTTCTTCCATGTGCTGTTAGAAAATGATTTCCAGGGGCTGGGGATGTAGCTCAGTGGTTGCGCCACCTGCCTCGAAAGTGCAAGGTCCCGAGTTCGATCCCTGGTACCAAAAAAAGCAAATGATTTCCAATCTGTATTTCCATCTCGCTCAGCTCCGCACTGACCTTCCCCTGTCCTTGGTTGTCCTTCACCCTGACATTTCTCTCTTGAGAGGGTACTTCAAGAGGTAGGTGTGGTGGCGTATGCCTGTCATCCCAGCGCTCAGGAGGCTGAGGCAGGAGGATCGCAGTTCAAGGCCAGCCTGGGCTATATAGTGTGTGGCCCTGCCTCAAAAAAATAAAAAACAACAGAAACCACAGAGTATTTTAGGACCAGCCTAGCAGAGAGCCGGAGGGGG